ACCAGTTTGCAACGACGGTGAAAGCGTACACGCCACTGATTTTTCCCCAACCGATACGCCAAACTAATAAATTGTACGAATGCAAATTGTATTGCGCGTGGAAATTCCACGGGGCGGAGGTGGAATGCTCCACCCGCCATTTTTCTTAAGAAAAATAATATTCCAATTCCTTCGACCAAAACAATTTTATCGAATCGAAAATCCACACGAAATCCGATGAAATAATGAATGAACGATGAAAATAAACACGACAAATAAAAGATCGTCCTCGTCGAACGATTAGAAGATTAGGACAACGCTTCTCACGCTGACGAATGTATCGAAGAATGATCGCGTTTCGCTCGAATACTTGCCGCGAATCGCTAATTCATTCGCGGTATCAGAGAGATATTGTGCGGTTGTCCCGTGTGTCATCCGTGGACACGAGCCAAATCGAGTTATTTTCGTGCCGACATCGATCTTCATAACGGGTCTCGCGTGTTTCTCTTTGTTGCGCTTGACAAGAAGACAAGAGAGAAAGAATATCGGATAAGAACTCGTAGAATAAAATTATTAACACGACGAATAATAATGACACATAAACAACAACATTTTCGTTTCCAGGATGGGTTAACAGGTTATTCAAAGAGGAGATATTTCGCGATAATTCGAACGTGGCGCGATAATTGATCGTAGGAGAATCGCAACAGCGATTCTCGAGTGGTTGAAGGAGAGGCGAGGAGAAAGTTGTGCGGTTGCACGCTCGTTCCAGAGATAAATTTAGACGGGGGGGGAAAAAAGGACGGTGTTGTACCAGGAAGGGCGACGACTCCAATGGCGGATGACACTATTATTATTATTATTATTATTATTATTATTCCTCGCCTTCAGAAACGCAAGGACGCGGGACAAACGTTTATTGGGCATGGCCGGCTCTCCTCTCTCCATGACTAACGTCTCCCGATATATCTTTCGGGAGATCTCGGAGTAAAATCGTCTTGCCTCGATTCGAATCGAGCGATTAAAGAAAGAAGAAAAAAAAAAAAAAAGAAAAAAAAATGTCCATCGAGTTGTCCAGGATCCAAGTTTCTCACGGCACGAGCCACGATCGAACGCCCCTCCTCCTCTTTGTTCGCGACAAGAGGCCGTCGAAAGGTTACACTTAATTATGACATTCGGGAAGGCACGTTTTACCAGCCGAGGGAAGTGACTTTCCCTCGAGTGCTTGCGCTACGGGAGAGAATACATTAAAGTAATTGAACAGTTTGTGTAAAAGTTGTTTGATGACACGCGTGTATGTGTACACGTTGTCGACACGTTGCCTATTTTCATTATACATAAATAGGAAATTTACACGGTTTAGATTATTTAAAAGAAGAAGATTTTCTGTCAATTCGTTTGAAAATTTGCGCCTCGATAATCTTTCTATTCAATTCGCTTTTACAATTCGAAATAAACTTACTCGATCGTTGCAATTAAAACGAGATTAATTAAAACGTGCCATCCGATTGAAAATGAAAATTGAATTTCAATCGATCGGGATCCTGATTAAACTTTATTACAATTATTATATAACGATCCGAGAAGAATATTATCGGACATTTAAATTTTACTTGGCTAACGAAAACTGTTATTATTTTAATTACCGTCTGTGGAGAATAGCGGCGCAGGCAATCGAAACGCAGGATGCTGAATGACCGGTGGATACAAAGGGAAGGGTCGATTTCGACGATCGATCCTCTCAATGCGTCCAACTTGCGCACTTTGGCCAGGCGATCGCCTCTAACAGAAGCGGGAACGTACTCGAGAATCTATTTCTGCGACCATTCACATCGAGGAAAACACGAGCTCTCGCCCTCTCTCCAATGTCTTTGAACTCGTTCGCTAAATAAAGAGAATTTTCGCTCGAAAGCGAACGAAGGGAAAGGGAGACGAGCACGAGGAGGACGAAACGAAAGGGAGAAAATGATGGCCCCGCGCGAAATAATCGCACGAGTCGCGAATAATAAATCAAACGGGTCGACTTACGGCGGGCGTAACACGTTGAAAAAGGAGGAAACGAGGGAGAAAGAGAAAGTATCTCTTTAGAATCGTGGCCACGTGCTTCGTGAACAACCGCTCGACTTTTTTCTCCCCACCCTTTCCTAGCCTTCCCCCACTCCTTCCTCCTCCATCCTACTCCTTCCAACTCCTTTCGTTTTTCTCGTATTCACCATATACGAAAAAAGTATGAACAAGTATATGAACGGCGGTCCGTCACTTTCTTTGTATACAATTAATTTATACAATCTTATTGATCCATCTACTAAAACATACTCTGACTCCAACTTACTTGGTCTAACGAAACGCCACGGCGTCTTTCTCCTTTCCGCGCTTTTATCCGTTTCGCAGCGAAAAGGGAAAATGGACGAGACGCGTGGAAAAAATGAGAGACGAGAGTTTGTAGGATGGCATTGTATCGGTGTTATCGCGGGGATGTTACGAAACGCGACGTGCACGAAACTCGACCGAGTGCGGAACAAAGGCGGGCATTTAATACGAGTTTGACGCACGATTTGAATCGCGCAGAAATCGAGGCGATCCGCGCCTCGGGTGAGGTTCATTCGAAAGGCGTCGTGCCAACAGACCGGTTCTCCCACGGAAACAGCCGAGGCTTCGTTTACCGCAGAAATTTCGCAAAACGGATTTTTTCTCTTCTTCCCTTCATTTTCATTGTGCGCGCGATATCGCTCGCTTCATCATTCGGCAAAAATAATGGTAAATGTATACAATATTGTCTATTGTACCGCCTTTCGCCCTTTAAAAGGAAACTTCTGCTTTTCGTCGATCGAATAGCCGGGTGCGTGGGGTCGGGCCTAAAAATTGTTAGAAGCGTTATCCACCAATTCTTTTGATCTCGAATTCTTCAAAAGTATTCTTTTCAGCGAATTTTTCTATGATATTATTATTTCTCGTATTTCGTATTCGCAAACAGTCGCGCGAGCATCATTACGAATAGATAAGGAAGCGTTATCGTCGGTGTATATAATTTGTTGTGCGACGTGGTCATTCGTTACGAAAAGAAAAAAAAATTGCTTAAAAAAATAAGCTTTCGAAAAAGTTACGATTAAGTTTTTTCTCCTAATATCCTTTTATAAATCTTGGGCCGCAACGCACAGCCTTCTAAAGGGAAGTAAAACGCGTTAGGAAGAATCATAACGTGGCGGTTAATACGATCCCACATCCGTGCAAAAGAAGAAAATTCTCGTTTAAGAGAGAGAGATAATAAATTTTCTTAATACGAGGATACGTTCACGTTCGAGAAATTTTTTACGGCTATCGCGATAATTAGAATGGAAAATACACTCTTCCATCTTACGTATCGAAAGTAAGGAGACGATTTCGGTCGGTAAAAATGTCGCGCCGTCCGCTAAGAGGTAAAAAAGTGAGAGAGTTTTTTTTGCACGGATGTATCGACGCCCGACGCCCGACGACTCGAAAGATGCGTGACAGAATGTTCTCATCGAATCGCGTGTTCGCGTCGGAGAGGTTCGAGTGCAGAAGGTGTCGAGGTGCGACCTGTACTCAAGGCCTAACCGGTCTTCGGGGCCCCTTGGCGATGCCCAGTCGGAGCCACGAGGCGAGGGGGAGGAGGGGGGGGGATCTGGTTTTGAATTTTTTCCTTCTCAATATAGATCGTGACCGAGCACGTCTTATTCATTCGCGTCCTGTAATTATACACGCTCCTCACTTTTTTTTTTTTTTACAATTCATCGTCTAAACCGAGTCTAAACTTAAGTTCTACAACGATGCTTCCCGATACTGTAATAAATATCGCTCGTACAAAAGCCCGTACTTTGAAGTTGAAACCACAAGACAAAATATTGCATAGGTTTCTGCGGTGCGAAGATCGTGAAATCCGGGAGAACGCAGAACAACTACGCTTCGAACAAAATGCTCGCCGTGAAAGTTGAATTCCGCGAACAAAGTTTGATTCGAAGTCGATCGAGAGGAAACATCGTGCGTTAAAACGTGCGCGAAACGACGAATCGAGATGTTTAAGAGATGCATCGCTGAACGTTTTGTTCTCATCCGACCGGCTCGGGAATTCACGGTGAAAAATTAATGGCAACCGCGTAGAGAAAGATTCGAAGATTTGCAAACGAATAACCGGTTTTCACTTGGCCGAGGAGAAGGACGCGAAAAGACCGAGAAACTGAAATTGAATCGTGAACGATACCTGTGCGCTTCCGGTGAATTTGGCAAGCTGCGAGCCTTCCTGTTGGCCCCACCACTACTTCCGCTGTTTCCCATTTTCCACCAATTTCGAGGTTAGCTACTCCGCGAAGGATCCGAAATAGTATCACTTCAAGTGGCGTGCACTGACACTTCTGACGGTCAAAAGTGTCTCGATGAATCAACCGGTAGACGCGTTCGCGTTGGTAAATAAACAAATAAATGAAACAGCCTTCGGCAACGTTTCAACTTGTGTCAGAAAACGAATATTCGTTCTTGTTGTTCTTCGTCAGATTCTCCGTCGCGTGTCTTGATCGATCGACACGGTGAAAAAAACGTAATTGGAACCACGGTTGTGATTCACTCGCTTCGTTGTTTCATATCGCTCGCGATGATACATTTATAGTTTTGATCTTTCTTGATATGTTTTGTGTATATGTGTACATGAGAAAAACACGCGATTAATTTAAACACGAGAGAATTCCTTATAAAACCGTTATACTATTATAAAATGTACAAACTGACGATGATATGATTCGTTTCCTTTGTATCGTATTGCAAATCCGTTCGTTATATTTTCACGTTACACCTCCATTTCCTGTAATTAGAAGCGTTCGTGCGAATCGATCATCACCATGCACTCGATCGCTTATAAACGATTGTCGTGATTTTATTTGCATTTGTATCTTATAATTGCTTTCATTCGTAAAATCATTTTTCACGTAACGAATCACACCATAAGTTATAATTTACTATACTCGAACTTGTGTACGATAGTCGGTATAGCATCATATTCACTGATTTTTATCTTTCGATTCGAACCATTTATAAAACGAATATTGAACATTTCAAATCAACGACCAAAGAATAATCCAGAAAGTATCATTGTGAGTGCAACCATATATTCTATTGAAACTTTGTCAAAAAGCGATATCATTTCTTCTCGATTACCAATCCGTTACCAATCGATCATCGAATCGTTGATTTTGTCGTTTCGATCCAACCACGAGAACTGCGAGTGAATCTTGGCGCATAAAATAACGCAAGATTTTGGAAACGGATCGATTTACGGATCGTTTTCGAAGAAAGCATATTTTCGATCTTTGTCTTTAGGAACCAGTTCTCGATTCGTATATTTCACGAACAAAAACAGGAATTGTAAATAGCAGTTGTCGAGAGCGAAGCCTTTTTCACTACACTGCACATCCACCGAGGAAACGATGCCTTATGGCGAGCTGTTCCACGGTCATACTACGGCCATGGTGTGTAGGCATCGTTGATGGCCCGTTTCAAACTGAGGCCCGCCGAGAGAGAACCATTCCTGTTCCCATAGCACGTGGCTTCTCTCTTTTGCTCTCTCCCTCCCTCGCTCGTGCCCCCACTATTCACAATCCCCATCACTCCCTCTCTTTCTCTCTTACTCTTCCCCGATCCTCTTCCTCACTCCTTGTTACCTCAGCACACGCATTCGCTCTTTCTTTTTTTTCCTCTCTTTCGAATCCCCATGTAGATACGATATACCTTCCCTTTAACAGAGTCTCTGCTGTACGTTTCATCTCGCAATATTCCTATCTATCCGTTTTCCCTTCGTTCTCGCAACGTATTTCGCTACTCGCGCCCTCTACTTCTCATACCGTCATCCCTTTCTCTCGTTCATCTTTCCACCATCTCTGTTCTTCTCGATATTAAACCCCAGATTCATCCCTTCTCGTCTGTTCGTGTACACCCCCATAGAGTCCTGTTCGTTCTTTGCCCTCGAATCTCCCAATCCCGTTTACTCTCTTCTCCGTTCTTCTCTTTTCATCGTTTATCTATCTTTCTCCGTCTCTCTCTCCATCTCATCTCCCGTACGTTAGTACCTACTGCCTCCGTCAATTTCCCCACTACACCAACCGACCAATGATATCGTTGGCCTTCCATAAGAGCCAGCCAATCTCTGACGAGCGTTTACTATTGTAGATTTTTAAATCATTTTTATGCGTGCATACCTTCAGCACGTGCACGTACGAAGTATTGTGTCGAGACGCAACAATACATTCTGTGTACGCCCGTATGAGTCTCGTACGCAAAGAGTTCAGAGTGTGTATTTTCTATTTGTATATAAGCGTGTATACAAATCGTGTAAACGACAATTTTCTACAGAGTGGTTCGAAAAATCTACTTAATTGGCAATTCAAACGATATATATATACATATACGCATTAATGGATTCATGGAAGTTACTAATGGTAATTTAGTATATCTCTCGTGGAACAATTGAATACTGTTTACATACATCGTACAAAGCTGGTAAATTCTATATGATTCGATTAATTTGATACAAATATATTTAAATTTGAAAAGTTTGTTCGTTGAATTATCGTCTATGTTTAGGATATTTTAATTATTTAATTATTTTATCCGTTACGAAATTTTTTATTTTCGAAACTACACGTGCAAATAGAAATTTTTCATACACAAAATTATTCATATCCATCATGGCGGTATGTATGACATGTTTTTCGATTTATTAGAGTGCGTGAAATTGACATACGAGATGAAGGTTAAAAGTCAATAAACTAGAATGCACGCGTATAAAGCTTCTTGAATGACTTGATATTTATCTTTTCAACTTGCTTCGTTCGTTTAAAATGCATATAAATAAACTACGTATTATCGTGTTTCATAAAACCTCTTATCAAAGATATGCGAAATAAGAGAATGATATCGCGTTTTTGCCTTTTTTTTTTTTTTTTTTTAGAAAAAATTCATATATACGTAATATCACGTGTATCAAATCCGGAAAAGATATGATGATTCTTATTTAAAATCCAGTATTGATGATTTATACGTTGGAAAATATTGAAGAGTATTTTGAGGTTACCCGTTATATTCTCGTTATACAGACCAGAACCATAATACACCCACGTTGCCTGAATTGTGTTGAAGAGGGAGTTTCGATGTGTACGTGCGGTTATATTGTGTGGCGAACGTAACGCAACGACTACGGGTCTACACTCAGTCGTGGACATAATGGAGCATTGTTAATATGTTAATGCCGAGCGTTCCTAAAGGTTCCGACGGTTTATGTTTCTCCGTTCCACCGAAGAATCGTTACACGGTCCATTAGACGACGAACCTTGAATTCCACTCGTCACGAATTTCCCTTTGGGATCCCTTTTTCTATTTCACTCGTATCGTTATAATTTTTTTATTAATTCGTTTTAACGCTCGTTACGTTAGCTTTTGCGAATACGGAGAAAAACAAAAAATTCTTTCCCATTAAAACTGTTTCTGATTAACTTATTAAATCGTCGTTTCAACTCGTTCGCGTACAATTCTGAAAAATATTAAAATAAATAGTCGTGTATAATGTAAGTAAGTAGACGTTTAAAACGAAGATTAATATCGTCTCGTTCATTTTGTAAAGAGCACGACTTCCACGAAACTCTTTCGCGTAGGATTGCGTGTAGGTTTAAAAATAACGACCTTGACAGTCGTGGCTTACGGGAAATACGGATTAAGAAAAACGCCAAGTCGGTTGAACTCCTTAGTGTTCACGAGACACGAGAGTAATTAATCGCGGACCGTGCAGGAGTAATTAAAATATATTTGAAGTTTCAACTCGCGGTTTCAGCTCCTTCCTACACGGAAATACGGTAATTCACGTATATAGCGCAAATTCAGTCGTTTACTCGTGTGAACTCGTAGAGCATAATTAACAGGAACGTTAATGAGCACGTCGTCGGATCGTTCGTCCGACGGGATGTCGATGTCGATTCGAACGTATGAAGAATAAAAATACGATCAGATTTAAGTAAAAATTTTACGGTAACTTTTGATAATTTAATTGAAACTCAGACTTTTAATCATTACGACGCACGATTGATAAATTCGGAAATAAAAATGATGACGATATCGAATGTTCATTCGATAATGTTGCTCGTTATTGAATAAATGTTAAACGATATCGTAACACGAGATTTTTTTCTCCAATGCAAATATCTTTACAATATTTATACGAAACGGATATCCGAATACTAAAGTTATTATGTTTCCAATTTTTAAGCAAATTTTTCCAAATTATTATGTTTTTCATACGAAATAAGTTATTTTATCTTAAAAAAAAAAATAATAATAATAAAGCGTTGTTTTCTTTTTATCTAATAATGCAATTTGTGATAAAATTTATCCTCTATCGATATAATATAAAAATTATCCGCTGTTAGTACAGATGAGCTAACTTACCGACAGTAGGCTCGACCTTGCTGGTGCTTTTTGTATAATCAATCGTCGATAAGAAGAAACCTGTACTCGAACTTACCTAGGCATGTCTTGAAGTTGTTTGGCTCTCTGCTTGTATCGTGAGAGGGCGAAAAGAAGGGCGAGGACCGGCCAGAGGGTTGATCCTGCAGCCAATTCGCTAGGATTCACGGAGCCCACGTCCGCCCCAAGAGCTCGGAGCGCTCCTACGCACAGGCTCACGTTCTCGACCTGCGCAACACACGTAAAACCTCGTCATCGATCACGGTATGAACCGATGTATACGCGTTGTATACGCATCAAGGAGAATCGATCGAAAATTTTCTTTTTTTTTTCTACTTTCAATCGATCCTCCCAGGTATACGTGCCTAAGGAATCGATGACTCGAATTCGCGTTGCATAAAGCGCGCTTTCAAATTAATCTTTAAACTTCCGAATGTCTAATATTAGTTTTGACGCGTAACAAAATATGATAATGAACGTCGAACGTAGAATTGAAAAGTTCTTCGATGAAATCGAAACCTATTTATCCCTTCATTTTTCCTCTCATTCTGTCTCTAATTGGATTTACAATCATCAGAGAGAAAGAGAATGATTTATTCGCGATCGACGCGAGAAGTCACGATAGAATGAAAAAGCAAACCTACGATACGAATCAAACGAAAATAGAGGTCTCTGGTTGCCTGTACTCGTTGGAATAATCCAAGACACGATGGACATATCGAGGTGACTGGTGCATATCGGTATACATAGTTTCGAGGGTAAAGCAACGCGAGGAAGGTACGGGAGCTTGGTGTAGGTGTACACAAAGGACTCGGCGATACGGTGTACATATACGACAAAACATTCTACGAAACGTGACCGCCGTGACCATGGCTACCTTGTGCTAGCACGCGTGCCGGCCTGCCTCTTTTGTTTCCATTGTTCTTAAGAGCCACGGCGGCTCCGGCTTTTACCCAGAAAACAAACCGTGCTGTACTGCACACGCTGCACACGGGGTGGTGGTGAGAGGTATACGGTAGAGAGAGAGATGACTCATCCGACAATACCCTGGGTGCCCACGCGTAGGTAACAACTAGATTGCCTCTGTGTTCGTTCGTTCCAGCTATATGCAACTCGGGATGGGGGTGCCAGTGGACGACCAAAGGAGAAATGGATCGGAGAAAAACCGTGAAAAACGCATCGACATAAAATCGACACGATATTACGTTCCACCCGCTTCTTTTATTACGACAAACGCGCGTAAATTAATTTTCGATTTTTGATTTACAAGTAAAAAAAGAAATTCTGACAAACATTTATAACGAATATTTAGTACGAAATTGAGAAAGATACGATACATATATATACGTATATGGTTTATTGAAAAAAAGGTGATTACGATTCATTGATCGTAACGTTAACGTCGATGCTGAGCAAGCAGTTGAAACTCGTTTCGAAGCAACGCGCGTTCCTGAAACTCTCTTATCAGAGTCCATTAACGACCAAGCTTTCAAATGAAATCTCGGCTGGGAATAAGACGCAACGCGATAAAAGGGAAGGGGAAGAGGGAGAGGAGGCGATTGCGAGCTTTTGTCAAAGTTGACGCAAAACCTTTGTGAAAACGCGATACGAGCCGGCACGGTGCAACGCTCTCGTGCAGCACTCACAGGTTATCCACACGAGATGACAGCCGTAAATGGCGATGGCGCTTTTTAACACGCTCCTCTCTCCCTCCCACCCTCCCTCCTCGCCGTCGACCAGGTTCCTCTCCAACGTGCACTTACGCGAAAAAGAAGATCTCGCTCTTAAGGGAGACATCGCGCTTCCTAATAAAGGGTCGAAGATCCATCCAACAGGTTGTTCTATTCTCGACAAACGTTCTTGTCGTACATTTCATCCGAATTCGTCCGGTTCTCCGTATACCTTTTCACGTCGTTTTTTATTCCGTTCGACATCTTTTGAACAACAAAAGTTGCGCACACTTCTTTTTTTTTTTTAATTAAATGTATCCAAGTTTCTACGATATTGTACGGGAATCGAGTTGCGACATCAGTTCACCGGTGAACGGTGAGGTCGAGTGAAAATTCCCATCGAATCACATGGGTATCCAATTAACCGAATCGAGTTGATCGGTTAGATCCGATCAACAGATCGAAGAAGAGGGTACGTGTCCTGCCTCGAATCCTGCTGCCAACGGCGCCGTACATCGAATCAGGTTTGTAATTCAGAAACGGTGCTCGCGCGGCGGGGTGGAGGGGGCGGAGGAGGAGGGAGGGAGGGGAAACAGAGTGGGAGAGCCAAAGATGGCAAGAGATGTCTACTTATGGTAACGTCCTCGCCTCTCCGCCGCGCGCAATAAGGAAACGAAAAAAGAAGAAGCGTAAGAAGTAAGCGCTCGCGTCGCTCGAACCCTGTCTTCCTTCAACTTTCAATTTCATGCGTATCACCCGTGCGCAGTCGAACCCACGTCACGCGCCCGCTCGTAACGCAATTTCCTTTCATTCTCTCGCGATATATTTATTTCGTTTAATTAAAATAACACTTTGATAAATTTTATTATATTTTTTTTTTTTCAAATTCGTTAATTAACATCTTCATCAAATATCAATTTATCAATTCTCTTCTAGCGTAATAGTTAATTTCTACGTATGTTTTTATATTATTAAATTTTATCTATTTTAAAGAATTCGTCAATTAACGAAGATATCGAATACCTTTATCAATTCTTTAATGTGATAATTAATTTGTGCACAATTTCATCGTGTAACGAGATCTCGTGTCGTGAAAATACCCGTCTTTTTCGTTTTTCCTTTCCTCTCTCGTTATATATCTCGAATATGCCTTTAACGACACACCCTCGCGAGGTTGTGTCGCGCAAGTATACGAGACAAAAGTCGAAGGAGCCGATTGCGCGAGAAACCGAGGAGGAAGATCCGATATCCGACGTGAACCGGTGTCGTCGGCGCTTCAGAAATCGAACCTCGTAGAGAGATCGTTTCATTTTTTTTCCCCCCTTCCCTTCCTCCTCTCCTTTTTTCGTTGAGCACGGAGGACGCGAGTGGAATAGAGATGCCCTGACGCTGCCTCTCTCGCGCATCGGAAAAATCAAACGTTACGGATGATGATCACGGTTAAAATGTCGCACGGATAGATCACTTTCCACCACGTTGCTTTCGATCGATACGTTCCCACGATCGCTACTCTCGCTCCACTATCGATCCGCGATTCCACGAAATCGTCGAAATTGTAACTGTTAACGAACTAGAAGGATTGATAATTAAGGAAAAATTTGACGAATAAATTCAAATTCAAACAAAGTTCTGGCAAAGATATTTATTAATCTAGAAGATAAAATTAAGCAAATTGAGAGAATTGGTTTGAATAATCGATATGTGAAGATTTCAAGTGTTAAAAATATATGGATTTAAATATAAAGGAACTAGATATCTTAAAAATTGTAAGATAATTTTTATAAATTAAAAATTTAAATCACAATATTAATTATATTTAATATAATCAATGTTAATGTAAAAACATAAGGGATTAAACTAAAATATATTTACGATTATGATATTCAATCGATGAATTTGATTTTGAAAAAACAATTCATTATATATAGATTCAATATATAGATTAACTTTTTCAATAAATTTAAAAATAAAATTCGCGATCGAATTGATCAAAATATTCTTGGGAACATTACATAAGATAGGAACGGAATTTCTCTTGTTTCCTCAAATAATTAAACGATAACACGTCCCGTAACACGCGCGATTTAAGATGAAAAGTGCAAAGGTCGGATTTTTTTTCGCACGGTCCGTGCACAAGCAATATTTTCAATTTGGTGTCCGAAGCAGAGAGAGAGAGAGATTTCAACAGATATTGAACAGGCGCCGACAAGGCGTTTATGCCTTCGGCCGATCTCTCTTCTCGCCTGATATCGCCTAAAGGTACACGTCACTTTCGAGGTCTCCTCGGTTCCGGATCGGATCACTATTACTTGATCACTATTACCTATTATAGCCCGCTCCGATTCTAATTTTTTCCATCCTCTTTCCATCCTTCAAACTTATATACACGTATATATTGGATCGTTCGAAAAGTAAGTTTCGTTTCTTTACACGAGTGTTGTTAGTCGAACGTTTATCCAGCCAACTTCGTTCTAAACCGTGTTGCTCAGAAAGTAATTTCGTTTTTTCGCACGAGTGTCGCTAGTCGAACGTTTATTCAGCCAACTTCGTTCTAAACCGTATTGTTCGGAAAGTAATATCGTTTTTTCACACGAGTGTCGCTAGTCGAGCGTTTATCCAGCCAACTTCGTTCTAAACCGTGTCGTTGTATATTTCGAGAGTTGGCATTTCATGGTTTATTTATTAAGAAACATTCGTTCGATTCTGTGCGGTTGTGTTTTTCGCGCGTGATAACAAAGATGCGAGACCAAAAGGAGCATATTTTACTTTTCTATTATCGAAAAGGTAAGAAGCAAGAAAAAAATTACGCGAAATCTATGGAGAAAGTGTATTAACAGTGTCGCCAGTGTCAAAACTAGTTTTCAAAATTTCGTTCCGACATTTTCGATATTAAAAATGCGTTCTGGAAAACCAGTCGAAATCGATGAATAACAAAAAAATTGCTACGAGATTAAATTTTTTTCGAATTCGACTGTTTTGTCATACGACTTGGTTTCGTTTCGAAGCTCGAAGAAACGAAATTACTTTCCGAACGACTCAATATATACTATTTCGTATAGATTTTCTACGTGTACGTGTTGCGTTAAAATTACGATCTTTTGTGTTTTATTAAGTGTAACGGCATCGTCGATCCCTAAGTGTTAACACAATGAACAGCCGGATTCACAGTGTACCCCGGTTAACGCGATTAAATCGTGCGACGAATCGTCGTGAACGAGAAAACGTCTGGCGAAATGAAATAGAGCTACTCTTAACGTAATTTAACGATACGACGATGGCCTCTTGCCTTGTATACTCTCCACGATTGATCATATTATGCGCTACATAGCTCTATTGTTTGAGGACACGTATAACAAAGATTTCTCTTTCTCTATGTACAAGTATGTACAAGTAATATCGTTGTATCGAGGCGCAACGAAGAAGTACGTTTTGGCAAAAAATTGAACGAAGGAAGAAACCATAAGCCACGATTAACCATACCACCGATTTTTTGTCGCGATACGCGAAGGCTCGAGATTCGTTCTTAGAAAGAATAACCAACAAATTTCTTCGAATTTC